CGGCGGGCCCCGCGGCGGCGAAATTGCCGCTGTATTTAATGAGGCTCTGCATGGCCGACACCTCCGAGGGCGCGGAAGCTCTCTCCACCCCGGCGGACGCTCCCGGTCGGTAAAGGGTCGACGGGTCCAAGTAGAGTCTCTGACTCCCCTCCTCGCCCGCGCGGCTCTGTCCGTGCTCGGTGGCGTGCGTTTGCGGGGAATGCCTGTGCGCGTTAGCGGCGGGCCGGTTGGTCGTGTGCGGGGAATGGGAAATCGGCGTGTGCGACGGCTGACTGTGCGGAGAAGAAAGCGCGTGTCCGTGTTGGGCCGCGAGGGCGGCCATGTGATTGGTGGCGTAGCTGCTCAAAGGACTGATGGAATTCCAATTTTTGTCCGCCCCGGCCCGCTCGAAGCCCAAACGACTTGAGTGTTTGGACATGCGCGTTAGCGGCGGGCCGGTTGGTCGTGTGCGGGGAATGGGAAATCGGCGTGTGCGACGGCTGACTGTGCGGAGAAGAAAGCGCGTGTCCGTGTTGGGCCGCGAGGGCGGCCATGTGATTGGTGGCGTAGCTGCTCAAAGGACTGATGGAATTCCAATTTTTGTCCGCCCCGGCCCGCTCGAAGCCCAAACGACTTGAGTGTTTGGACATGTCCCGGGCTTCGGGGCTAAACCGCGATTGATTGGAAGAGTGAGAAGAATCCTGGCCTCGTTTGCCAGCAGAACCGTTGGAACAAATGACAGAACCTTCCTCTCGATGATTGCTCGAGTCGCCAGGCTGGGAAAGTCGAGGATGTTCGATCAGGCCCCTCTCAGGAAACCTGTAGCTTTCCCTTTCCGGCTCTTTATCATTCTCTCGCTCTCTGTCTCTGCATTTGTCGCCGTGCTTGTCGCGGGCCTGCGATGCGATCTGGATGGGCCCGACCCGCTCGTCGTAAACCTCCACAGAAGGCACGTACGTCGGCGCGATGACTCGATGCTCTCTCGTGCATTCTCTGAGCGCGTGGGGGAGGGGCAGGGCAGTGATGGAGGGCTGCAGCGAAGGAGGAAGGGCGTAGGAGAAGTGGCGCGTTCCGGCTGGCGTGGAGTCGTTCCTCCTTTGTCGTTCGGAGTGAGAGGCCGCCGGCAAGTTTGAGTTATTCGAGTTCGAGTGATGGTGGGCCCTCGGGCAGAGCTCCCCTTCCCGACTCCCTCGGTCCGTTTCGTGTCCAAGGAGCCTGCTGATGGCGCCCCCTGGAGGAAAGGAGGGGAGCGCAGGTGACGGCCTTGAACTGGGCTCCCCCGTGGAGGGCTGAGAGCTGGATTTCTGGTGGTGGTGGTGGGGACGGAGGGACCAGCCGTCTCGCTCGGTGTCCCTCTCCCTCTCTTTCTCTCGCTCCTTCTCCCCGGGGCGCCCCCGCCGATCTTCCTCGCTCTTCCCATCCAGCGTGAGGTCCACCACACTGTGCGGTCGCAGCTCCTCTCGTGACCGCTCTCTGTCTCGGTCCCGTTCCCCCCGATAGGCCCTCTCCCGGCCCGCATCTCGGGGCGCCTTCTGAGGCGGCGTCGAGCTGGACGGTGTGCTTTGAGGAGCCGACGGAGGACGGAGGGGCGCCTGGCTGACAGCCGCCGGCAGGAAAAAGCTCTCTAAAAAAAAAATCAGACAGAAGTCAAAGAAAAGCAAGCTCAAATGAACACCTCGGGACATGAGGACACATTAGATGCTGGAGTGCATCAACAGGAGCGATAGTTCATTGAGGGAAAGGGGGGGGGCAGTGACTGACCTTTGTGGGAGTCATAAAGGGGATTTTGTGGAATTGAGGGAGGGTCCAAGTGCCCCAGTGATAGGTAGGGACTTGCGTACAGGCTGCCAGGAAGAGGGTAGCCTAGAGATAAAAAAAAAAAAAAAAACAGACCACATCATTTGATTGTTTCGAAATACAAGTGCGCCCTTCATCCGTTTCATCCACTCCCACGAGGTTCTTTTCATTTGCCCTAACATCATGTTGGTCAACGCGTGCACACAAAATGCAATTTCTCCAATTCGTTTACTGTGGCCAAAATCAACAGGCACCGATTAAAGTCCAGCAAAGCTATTTTTTTAAGAGAACTTTTGAATTCACAGGAATTCAATCACAAAATTCGGAAATGTTACTGATGTCCTTTGAGAATTTTTTTTTTAAGTCAAAAGGGAAATGTACTCATTTGAGGAATCTGGATAATACCCAAGCAGGCAACACATTCATAAAATCGTGACTAGTTAGCAACAGCCTATTAGCCTTCCAAACACACACGGTTTACTAGAACGTAAAATATGTCCCATGTCATCCAAGATCTTAATATTACAGCTTCTTTTGCAATTGCGGTAAAAGCCTTTCATGATTGTCAAACGCTCAAAGCAACAGCTGACCATCCTCCTGTGTGTCTAGATCACTTCTATCTTTCTAACCCAGCATTCACCGAGTACCAGAAGAAAATGTGCCGGTGTTGAGAACCACGCAAGAAACTTGGGCCTGAAGACGGAACATATCTGGGCAAAGCAACACAACGTTTCATGCAGTTGCATTGCAGTACACGACCTAATGACGGCCTTCATGATCCTTGATAGTTCCATTATTAGCTCAGCGTAAAATGGATTTTCACCAGTCCATGCAACTGTGAATGTTACTATTTTTAGGTTTAGCAGCCCAAAAAAAAAAAAAGACTGATTTAATTATCGCTTCAAATCCATTGAAACTGTGCACAGAAGGACGACGACATGAATTGGGTCATAGTGTGAATGCTTATCTGCGCTTCCTATTTGAGCATGACAAGAACTGGCATACTTTCTGTCAGACTTTGCACACTTTTTTTTTTTTTTTTTTGGTGGGTCCCTGCCCCCTCCCCGCAGCCACACCTGCAGTCAGTTGTTCCATTCGTGGGTCAACAGCGGGCTAAAGTCTGCCTCGGAGCCAGCTGTTGCTCTCAGAGACCGGTTCTTAATATAGAAAAAAAAAAAAAATTCCTCTGCCCTTTTATTTCCACGCTAGCGATGTGCTCGTTTGTAACTCCTCTGCTAACCGGTGTTGCCACACATTCCCACAGGGCCAGCGACGCTTTTTGCCGAAGCGTCTCGAAAGACGCCGCAGCCAGCCCGGCGTGAAACGGCCGAGCAGCAGAACCGGCGTGTAAATCTGTCTACCTTGCGGGAAGGCGGACACCGAGAGGCGAGCGGTGCCGCCGCATGGCGAAAAGCACAGTCAGGTGGAAAGAAAAAGGCGGCGTTACAGCGAGAGGGCAACTGGATGCAAGGCGGCTTTATCACTAAGCTTCATTTAAACACAACAAACGGCCGGCGTTGATCTCTCGCAGCTTTCATCCAGAGCGACGCGTGGGTGTGTCCCAAAAAAAAATCTGACTCGAGGCTGCTGCCCAGAAATGCTTCCAAATTTTACCTTCAGCTGCTACTGTACTACAAGCAGGCATCGCGAACTGCCTTTAGGCCATGACGAATTTGTATTTATATCCGTGTCTCTGTCCTCTTGAGTCAGCAGCGGGGTTTTAAGCCAGATCTCTGTGCTTAAATTCAGACTACATTGAAATTTCCATCGAGTCTACCATCTCCTGAATATTCGGTCAAAAGGGGGTTCGTCTCCACTCTCTGTAAGCTACCATTGCTTATTCTACCTAATTCATCAGCACCTTAGACTCACATGAGAGTGATGACCTGTCTTAAATCCACAAAATGGGGATGAAATGGAACAAAACGATCACCTATCACTACAAAGTCCTGCAGCTCTGTCAGGTCCACCATGCAATCATTTTTTTTTTTTTTTTTTTAAACATGAACCCCAAATGAGATTCACTTGTCTTTCCACAGGACTCTCCACTCGAGCCTCTCCCAGATGCCATTGCAAGATGTGCCTCATTCGATACTTTTCTACCACTCCAGCGAGACTTAATCAGGGAACACGTAAAGAGGGCACACGCATTCATTCAATCACCGAGCGGAGTTTTAGAAAGGAGAGGACAGAGGACAAAGACTTCCCAGGAGGAGACAAAAGACACGATCATCCATCCGCACATGCATGCACGTGTGTGCCGAAAAGCTAGGTCAGGGAGAAAGAGAGAAATGTTGAAAAAGTGGGGCAGGAGAGGGAGTTGGAGAGCATGTTGGGCACCGGGCTTGGGAAAAAATAAATAAATAAATAAATAAAGACTAAAAGAAGGTAACATTAAAGCGAGACAAGGCCGGTGAAAGTGAGACTGGCTGAGTGGAGCAAAAGGGAAGCAAGCGAGACACATTTAGGACAGAGCCAGGAGCAGAGCAACCGGCAGAGAAAGAGAAAATGGGAAAGACTCCCACCGGTGGAAGTGATGAGACGACGAGGAAGAAGAACAGGCCTCTGGGGGTGAATGGCGGGCGCAGAGTATGGACGCCGGTGATTGATGGACTCGCCAGAATTTACCTTCGTGAGCGTGTGATGCCCAAAGCTGAGCCATCGGCAAGCCACCGGGATTGGACGATCGGTATGCGGGGTCGGCGGTCAAGGGGGAGGGGCATGGATATCCGGCCAGGAAGGGATTGGATCCCGTAGGGAAGGCATCACCTGGGGGGAGGAAAAAAAAATAAAATAAGGATTGGCAGTCACCATAGCAACCACCACTGCCAATAGTAATAACCAGACAAAAGCAATCAATATGCGGAACTGTGGATAATAAATATGAACAATACCCTGTGGCCTATGTGTAAATCCCCGCTGATTTTCCGATCGTGCAATGACAGCTTTATCGTGAGGAAATAAAGCAGATTTAGGCTTAATGCAACCTGATGTTCTTTTTTTTTTTGTTTTGTTTGTGTTTTTTTTGGGGGGGCGGCACACACAAGGGCACCTTGTTTTGAGCTGAGCCAAACTCTGCCGCATGGATTTGCATTTCAACAACAAGTTCAGGTGCATCACGGACATTTTAGCTGTCGCAACCATTTCAGCATCTCCAAAACCGAAAAAGCTGCCAAAGGGCGGACAATTCGGAATTCAAGGGATCATTTCAGAGGCGGGGGGAAAACAACGCACACACAAAAAAAAAAAAAATCCAGCGGTCTAACCAGTGTCATTTAAAACGCATCAGGCAACATCATAATGAAGCTCGAGAACATGTTTTCAACTGTGGTCAATTTAGTTCAATACTCACGAGTGAAGTTCAAATGATACTTTCAATATTCTAATGTTACCTAATTAAGGTTTTATGACGCCAAGGTTTGTGATTGATTCGCAGCAGTCGCTGTGTATAGCGGAACGGAGAGAGGATAATTTTTTTTTTTTTTTTAATAGGTTTTATTATATCGACTGCACAGGATTCCCTTTAGGGCTTGACAGAATTACGTTTTATTAAGCTTTATTTCAGATTGAGCAGACATCATTCCTAACTTGATTATCACAACCAACGGGCATCAGCTGGACCACGATGACGTCCGCTGCGCCCATTTAACTCGCGCTAACCTCATTCCAGACACGCGCGGGATGCAACGTTCAAAAAAATTGAGCAGAAATCCAACGCGCCACCTTGAAAACCAAATCCTTGTCAAGTCAGAAATCCTTGACTCAGCAGCGACACTTTTATCGGGCTATTTTTAAGCGGGCTCATCACCAAGCACTATCAGACCATTAGCAAACGTTGAACCTTTGAACTATTCCCGCTTCCTTCCAATCGCACATCTCAAGAGCACGGAAAAAAAAAAAAAAGGTTTCGCGTTTAGCCGAGGTGTCCCATCACTGTCCCGCCCAGACCATTAACCAAAAGCAGCGCGCAGCCATTAGCCTGATAAAACTATCCATGTGTGTCGGGGAAGGGGTGCTTTTGCCTCTTCGACATGGGCAAGGGGGAGAGAGGCGCGCATGAGTGAGTGAGTGTGTGTGTGTGTGTGTGTGTGTGTGTGTGTGTGTGTGTGTGTGTGTGTGTGTGTGTCCAATGGGAATCAAGACGCACGCCAAGGAGTTTTTTTCCCAGCATCTAAATACAGTGAAACTCCTCTACAACGAAACGTACATGGGCGAAAATACCCCCTAGTGTGAAAAGAATCTTCATGTATTTACAAAATTCCCACTCTCCTGCCCCCCATACAATGAAAAAAAACCCTGTTGCGTTATACGAAATATTTTTCTCTGCTCTTACCTCGCAACGAGATTCACTACAACAAATTCTAATCCAACAGCGACCTCTACTGCTTCGTTCGGAAACGGCAACAGCAACCACCACTCTGGTTTAAACATGCGCAGTAGTCCAGGAAGTATTTGTTATTGTTAGTTTCAGATGCAGCAAGAACGTTGCATTGCTAAAATGGCTACAAAACGGACTTTTGGATGTCAAGCAGCTAAGACAAGAAGAGCTCTGATGCTGGAAGAGAGG